GTAACAGTCACACGGGTCTGCCTGATGCTGATGATGTTGCTGCTGCTGCTGTTGTTGATGATGGTTTGCTTGGTTTTTTTCTTCTGGGTCTTCTTTATCTTCTTATTCTTCGGTGCTACTTTTTTGGGTTCATCTGACCAATCAGAATCTTTGGTTTTTGACCAATCAGAAGACAGCACCCGAACCGAGTTGTGCTTTCTCTCCAATGGAACAGGCCTGTTCCTATGGAAAAGAAACAGAAGGGTTGGGCTGGTTTGGGTCAGACCAGGCGCTGAAACGGACCAATCAGTGTGCTATCCAATCGACCAATCAAAAGAGGGACCGTTTCGATTCACTCCTCTCCTATAAAAAAGAGTGAAGCCACTCACCCCGGCACAGTCCTGGCACTGAATGAGATCAACCATGTCGTCTCGATACAACTGTCTGAAGTGCCAGACCAACAGTCAACAATGTCCGTGGATGAGTAAAGTCTATTCGTGGACAATAGTGGCCTACCCACCTGATGAATCGGAGACGATCTTGTCGCAGAGCCCGCACTGGTTTAAGAACAAGCCTGAGGCTATTACAGCATTACAACGAACTATACAACACGGAATTGACATCCCAAACTGTTGGAGTGGACCGTATTATTATCTAGTATCGAGATCAAGGAAGGGCCGTATTATTATTTAGTATCGAGATCAAGGAACGTAATTTAAAACAGAGACGAGCTTTGTCCAGTTTCAGGTTTCGTTTAACGCCGCACTCAGCAATATTACAGCTATATGCCGGTGGTCTGTTAATAATCGAGTCTGTACCAGACGATCCAGTGATAAATATCATGAGCATCGATCCACGTAATTGGGATCGATGACATGCATCAACCAAGTCAGCGAGCCTGACCAGCCGATCCCGTTAGTCGCCTTTTACGACAAGCATAGTCGCCTTTTACGGCAAGCACGGGTTGCTGAAGACCTATTCTACCCCGACTCTTCACGGGTCCCTCATCAATGTAACGAAGCGTAATGAGATGCCCGTCGTTGATGACCAGACCTGTCTTCTGGTCCCCGCAGATGCCAACCCACAACTAGCACCTACTCTCGTCGTTGAAGACCACTCTTCACCAATTTCTCTGCTGCCACTGCTGTACAGTCCTGAACCATCTCAGTATGTGACGTCGGTGTAGAAACGTTAACGTCATGCCCTTGAAAGGTCGATAGTCACGGAGGCCATACAGGAGGAGTCGTCTAGCAACGGTACTTCTGCTGACGGGGGCACGTGTGGCCCAGTCGTCTAAGGCGCCGCAATTCGCTGTGCAGAGTTGCGTCCCTTGGGCACACCAGAAACCAATGATTGTGGGTTCGAATCCCGGTTCGCCCCGATTATGTTTCTAGGTTTGTCAGCACCATACCCGTGCTCATGGGTTTCACCGAAGTGGTAAACGTCTGAGACCTGCAACACTTCGGGCTTTCCTCCCACATTAAGGTGACACGCCGCGATATATCTGGAATACTGTTAAAAGCGGCGTTAAACCAAACTCACTCACTCACTCCTTCTGCTGACTGGATGTCGCAGTTTAAAATCTGGACATCAGGTGAAGCACCCGTAAATACCGGTCTTCCTGTGAGGTCGTGACCTTGGGTTTTCCACTCCTCGGCCTGTCTGCAGTACTGCCAGTTTGCCTGTGACGTGTGACAAGGCTGGCGATGGTGCACTTGAAGCAGCCCATGGTCCTGGCAACGTGCTCCTGCTTGTGGCCTTATGTGGCACGACAATGAACAGTTTTTTAAATGTGACTATCGAGCTCCAAAATTTCATATTTGTATCTGTGATATTAAATTAAATATATCGACTTTATTAGGTGCAATACATTGACTAAAAATCTACCTGTGCGGTTCTTTTCTTCAAGAGTATATGTTGAAAACTGACGACCATTATTTATTTGCTGGCGTTTCTTTTGTCCCTCAGTTTAGTTTGCATTAAATAATTAAACGTTTGTGTTTAAATGGATTGTTTTGTCATTATGTAACTTTCAATATTAGTATTCACTAACCATGAAGAGCTTCGCGCATCATGGAATTTGATCACAAGATGCACTGTCTTCATTAGCTGATGCACGTCAACAAATTAAACGTCAATCCTTAAATGTTTTTAACACAGGTGCTGTGGCAACACAAACTATTTACTGTTACCAACACATACCATTGCACAGTTATAAATTCCATTTTGTATTACACATACCACTGTAGTGTTATACATAACACTGTAGTATTATACATACCAATGTAGTATTATACATACCAATGTGATGTTATACATACCATTGTAGTGTGATACATACCATTGTGGTGTTATACATACCATTGCAGTGTTATACATACCACTGTAGTGTTATACATACCACTGCACATCGAATCGTGGCGCCGTAAACGACTTAGCCGGCCGTGCCGTCTTTCTTTCAGTAGGTGAGTTAGGGAGTATGGTTTTACGCCGCTTTTAGCAATATTCCAGCACTATCACGGTGGAGGACAAAGAAATGGGCTTCACACATTGTACGGGTATCGAACCCGGGTCTGTGGCATGGCGAGCGAACGCTTTAACCACAAGGCTACCCGACCGCCCCTCCTCTTATCTGCCAATATGACAGACACACTCCCGCAGAGGGAGAATTACAAGGAAAAACTGTGGTAAGTATAAATTGTGTTTACGAATAGAATCATCAACATGAAACCCAGTGAAATGGTTTAACGCCATTAAACAGTATGCGAGTTATACCACGGCGTTTTGACTTAACAGGGAAGAAGGCCAAACGTCATGATGTTTACGCCAATCAACGGGAAATCTGGAATTCGAACCCATGGTCTGTGGAACCTTCTCCTGCACTTGACTACCCGTACCTTAACCTTGTCAGCATTTCGTTTCCTCGTATCACTAATGAGTTGCCTACTAATTGCATGGCGTAGACAAAAGGCGAATCCCAGTGGTGTAGAGGCCAGGTGCTTCTCAACAACATCCAGCAGTACACAAAAGCGTTACTCCTTCATGACACAATGCATGGAACATCTGCATTCCACGGGTGCTCACTGGAATACAGGTTTAGCATATCAGACAGTACACAACTTTTCAAACGATGCACATGATGAAATGAGTGCACATGGAGTTTATCAAGTTTTATTGACGACATGAACGTGACCGTGTCTCGATATAGTCAGAGAGCTTACATCTTCTGTGATACTACAAAATAATCTGCCTCCACCCCTTCATTCACAGGACCGTAGTCGAGTGGATAGAGCTTATGTCCGGATAGCGGGAAGTCGGTGGTTCGATCCCCTGGCCGCGTCACACCAAAAGACATTAATAGATGGTACTTGTTGTTACCCTGCCTTGGTAAATGCAATAATCTTGATAAAGACGCTAAACCCCATTTCAAGAGATAAAACCTTTATTTACAAATACAAGGATATGGACAATGAAAAGAATAAAATGTTTTTATAATTAAATGTCTGAACAAAGATTATTTCTTACAAATACTACATGCTAATTAGCTAATTATATACATTCAATGCAACAAAAAGGACAAAACAAACATTAAACGACTTGTCTGCTGGGGGTTCCTTTTCCGGAGTCAAGGGGGCACGGATGGCCCAGTCGTCTAAGGCGCCGCGATTCGCTGTGCAGAGGTGCGTCCCTTGCGCACGCCAGAAACCAATGATTGTGGGTTCGAGTCCCGGTTCGTCCTGATTATGTTTCTAGGTTTGTCAGCACCATACCTGTTCTCGTGGGTTTCACCGAAGTGGTAAACGTCTGAGACACGCATCACTTAGAGCTTTCTTCCCATATAAATATGGAGTTTAAGATGACAGGTCGAAATATATGTATCATGCAAACATTCAATAAACAAGTTGGCAAGGTACGTTGTCCTATTAAGGGCTAATGAAGCTTAAAGTGCTGTTTTAAGTGTAGCGAGTGACGGACCTTTGATGAGTAGGATGGAATCGCGTTGACTTTGCATAGAACACAACAACAAGGTGAATCAGATCAAGCATCACAATCACAATATTAACTATAACACAAGGGAATGGTTTCTAAGCTGCCTCACCCTTGGATAACAGAGTTTGTAGTTTGCTTACAACAAGCAGATTTGAATGATTAAAATCATAAGATGAAAAAAGTTTGTTAAAAACTTGCCAGTGAGTTGGTCACTCTGAGAATGTGTGGCAATAGGTCCACCTCGCGTACTGGCCGTACTGAACCTGTGGCGATTAGGTGCCAGTATATCATTAATCCGTTGGCCGATCATTCAAAGGTGATTTGAAAGATACTGATTTAAATTCATTGGTTGCCGTAGAAGATTGAGGTCTGTCATTGTCGTGGCCTGGAAAAGTCGTACAGCGTGTAAACTTCACTTCAAAATAAATATCATACAATTGACCCATCATATAACCCCGTGATAACTGCTAATGAACAAGCCTGGTCAGGAGAATGCCGACTCAAATCTATCGAAATATAATGCGGTGTAAAATCAACAACAACAAACAATTTGTTATACACTCTTCAAATGAAGTAGATAAAAAATATAGATATAAATATCAATTATAAGAACAAGGATAGGTGTTGACGACAAACATCCTATGCAAGAACAGTTACGCCCGTAAAACATAACTCAAAACCACATCCTCTAGTTTGCACGTGTCCCACGCTGTAGCTTCACGCACGTGCGAAGGGTGTCATTCCTGATTTTGACACTATCAAGTAAGGTCGATTAACCTCAGAGTCTGTAGATCATGATTTCTGTTAATCTTATTGATTCTGATGACCATACCGTTGGGTGAGTGAGTGAGTGAGTTGGATATAACGCCGCTTTTAACAGTATTCCAGTTATATCACGGCGTGTCAGCTTAATGTGGGAGGAAAGCCCGAAGTGGTGCAGGTCTTAGATGTTTACCACTTCGGCGAAATCCACGAGCATGGGTATGGTGCTGACAAACCTAGAAACAGAATCGGGGCGAACAAGGATTCGAACCAACAATCATACGACTCTGGCGTGCCAAAGGAATGCGCCGCCTTAGACGACTGGGCCACCCGTGCCCCGATACCGTTGGGATTTACTTGATTTCATTCATTGTTTGTGTAAGTGATGCTGTGTGGCAACGCGCAGAGCGTCTACGGGCTATCGGAATGCTGGAAACTCGCAGATATCAATATACGAATATCTAGATATCTAGATACGAATATATATATAGATACGAATATCTCTTACAATTATGGACATTTTGTATTATTTCTGGGGCGGTCGGGTAGCCTAGTGGTTAAAGCGTTCGCTCGTCACGCCGAAGACCCGGGTTCGATTCCAGACATGTGTACAATGTGTGAAGCCCATTTCTGGTGTCCCCGCCGTGATATTGCGGGAATATTGCTAAAAGCGTCGTAAAACAATACTCACTCACTCACTTAAATTATTTCCGGGTATCCCCTACTTTTGTTTTAGAGCATATTTTAAATATTGACCATTCGAGATATTTTATGAAAGCGCAGAGGTTAATGCCTTGACCTTTTTAAAACTATTGGGTCGAGGAAAAAAAGATACTTATCAAGAAAAGTATTCATGTTATATACAGTGAAAAGTCAATATGATTTCTGGGTGTCCAGTTCCAGACTGTGAAATACACCCCCATTTGATCACAATTAGCGCCCAGGCAAGTCTTGCAATGCGTTTCGGGAAATCCTGTCTATTGCTGATTAGGATCGGTCATTCCCACAACTTTGACAGCGTCTATCTCTGCCGCTCCTCCCGCAAAATAAGGATCCACCCATATCTTGATGACGTCAGACGTAAAACTCAGCGCCTGAAAGAGTATGCATTGTGAATGTGAACGAAGAAACAACAATCAACAAGAGGACAACGTCATCGATATCTCCCGCAATGGTAAAAACTTGTCGTAAATAAATATGTTCTGCAAAAACAGAAACGCAAAGTGATGTTAGATGTATATATCATATGAATAATCAACAGATGGTAATCGATTATTCTACCATAAATTTGGAATGTACTCGATTCTGATTGGTCAATCTGAGGCTATTAAATCACAATAAACCCCCTCTGATTGAAACAGCTGGTTTGACGGCCGCATCACCACGGAAGCTAATATTCATAGAAAAGTACCATTTTCAGTCATTGTCAGTAGGCTTATTTAAATCATTTTATCTACAATTACAGGTTAAAAAATGCACAGATGCGGTTACTACAATATTCAAAGGATGTGTGGCAATACATTTCGTGCAGAAAACACGACAGAAATCTACAAAGAGAATGCATCTAAGTCTTGGAGACAACAGAGAGCTTGGAATTTTGGCGCTTTCTATTTACGACTGTGACGTCATATCGTTTGCGTCACAATGAGCGATATGGCGTCATAATGGTGACGCACGATGTTGAGCGAAAGCCTTGCAAAACTTGCTTTGTTTTCTATAGGTATTTCCACCTCATGTTAGCTTACCAAGTTGCGTGATTATATGCTTTCAATGCCTGCCATATGTTCAAGTGAAGTATGACGGTGTAAACAAACTGCTTGAGTATATACAGCGCCATACATGTATTTTGTTCGGTGCACGATTCCGTAATCGATAACCCACTCAATACACTGGACTCAACCCATGCCGCTTATCTCAGTATATTTGCCAACACCAAAGAGTTTTATTTAGTCATGGCAGAATGGAGATAAACAAAGTGTGTTTTCAATGTAGAGCGAGGTTACCTGTAGATTTAACCGCGCTGAATTGAACTTGAAACCGAACGCGCAGCGTGAGATTTCGAATGATAAATGTTCGGTTTCAAGTTCAATTCAGCGCGGTTAAATCTACAGGTAACCTAGCTCTACATTGAAAACACACTATGTCTATCTCCTAATTCAAAAGTGGCTCACAGCATTGTTATTGACGCAGATTCCATGTGCGTCATATATAAGATTTTTAAGATGAAGATCATCTGTTCTTATTATCTTGCATGGCTACCATTAGCGTCCAAAACTGACTGGCATCGTCGTCCCATAGAAGTAATCCGATCCCGGATGGTGGCCTTGGGAATGTTCACTCACTCTGCCTGCAGTGCTTGTGTCAACTGTCGGAGGTTCTATGGTTGTTGTTGATCGTTGATCCAGTGCATCCCTTAACCCTCTGGATGCCGAGTTATTTTTCTGCCGCATATTTTCCTAAGATCGGAAAAGTGAAGGTTGTGCGAGAATTGCGCTCACGCGGCACTGGATCTACCTCTGGCTATAAAATTACGCAGAGATGGAGAATATTAAATTTCCCATCCGGTGGTGTAAATTTAACTGTAAATATGAAACAGGTGTTAAAAAAGACACTTCTTAGTGTTGTCCGAAAATTTATTCTGCGTTGAAAAACAGGAAATTTCTCCGGTTTTTATCGTACACCGACAAAGTACTGTGCGACGATGTTTTTTATTTAGAAGCTTTATGGAAACTGTGAGCGAATAAAATACTGCCTAATATCTGAGGTGAGGTGAGGTGAAATTGGGTTTCAATCTTTTAACGTCTTTTTGTATGACGCGGCCCGGGATCGAACCCTGGACCTTCCGCTCTCCGGGCGGACGCTCTACCACAAGACCACGGAGGCGGTCGCCTCATATCTGAACGACATAACTATATTTCAAATGGAGTTATATGTGTATGTATGAAAAATATAAGATCCATCTATGTGCCAAGCAAGAGAGAGAGATAGAGAGTGAGAGAGAGAGAGAGAGAGAGAGAGAGAGATAGAGAGAGAGAGAGAGAGAGAGAGAGAGAGAGAGAGAGAGAGAGAGAGAGAGAGAGAGTTTTCTTACATTGTTTAAAGCGAGCTTGAAGATTCGGATTGACTGAAGCCTATATAACCGGTTCGAGTAATAGATAGTGTGATATGCTCCAGAAGACCTCATGACCTGCACCGACCACGTTGTGCCTGCGCGGTACGTCTCATACACGTGCACTTCTTTGATGTAGAGTTTCCTGGCATACTGCAACTGGAAACAAGTTTCTCAGTTACCTAGCAACTGTCTCAAAAGGGCATATACATATATATATGTATGTAGCTTTCCAGTAACATTCTTGAAAGCACAATTCTTAGATTTAGTTGTCGTTTCAAATTACAAAGAGCGAAATCATTAATAAACGATCTTGCTGTCACTGACTCACTCACCTGTAGATGCTGATATATCTTTTCTTACCTTCACATACTGGTTGTAATTTAACTGGTAAATATTGGACTGTGCCCATGCTTTGACATTGTGGCCGTAGTCTGGCACATCGGGCTCTCCAATCACTTGGCTTGCGGCGTTGCTGACAAATATGAAACGTCATTTAGTCTATAAATAATCGATTCTGGACCAGACAGTCCAGTGATTGACATCATGAGCATTTCTCTACACTATCGGGATGCGATAACATGCATCCTCTAAGTCAACGAGACTGGCAACGCGGTCCCGTCAGTCGCCTCTTGCAACAACCATGGGTTGCTGAAGATCCATTCTAACCCGGATCTTCACTGGGCAGATACAGTCGTAACATTCTGTATAGATTTCAGTCCAAATTGCAACCAAGCACGGATGGCACTAAAATTTAATGGATAATATTTTAGTATCGGTGACTTGGTTGTCTCGTATCGCTGTTCATAATGTCAATCATTGGATTGTCTGATCTTGACTCGATTATTTGCTGGCAAACGTTATATAGCTAAGTGAGGCGTTAAAAAAACAATCAAACAAACAAATTTAAGAAAACTAATGCTCTCTCCAAAAAGACCACATTAGTCGGTGAGGGTCTTACATTGGTATAAGCACGGGTGATCTGGACAATTCACCGTGTAGTGTCAAAATCCCTTAGTTGTGCCCAAAACATTGTTATGGGTTCGAATCCCGGATTAGGTTTCTAGGTTTGTCATCACCATGCCCGTGCTCGTGGGTTTCACTAAATTGGTAAATCTCTGAGACCTGCCTCACTTCGGGATTTCCTCTCATATCAATCTGACGTACAAGAACTGAAATAATGTTCAAAAATGGCATTATTACGAACTCACTCACGCTTAGGGGAGGTCGTGTAGCCTAATGGTAAAACGTTCGCTCGTCACGCCGAAGACCTAGGATCGATGCCCGACATGGGTACAATGTGTGAAGCCCATTTCTGGTGTCCCCCGCCGTGATATTGCGGGAATATTGCTAAAAGCGGCGTAAAACCATATTTACTCACTCACGCTTATCTAAACAATATCAATCTATGCACGTTGGGGAAATGTGATGTGTGTCATGTATTGCATAAGCAGGATTTATTCTTCCCTTGAAAAATAACAAAGGATTGTGTGCTTGCAGTAGTGTGTTGATCTTGTTGGTACTTCAACTATATATATTGCTGACTATTTGCCATTAATCAGCCTAAATGTTTTTGTTTTTTTTGTAATTCATGGACATGAAGAGTGCTTGGGGCTTTGTTGGAAAAATTTATGACCATGATGCTTAGTATTTATGCTGAACATATACTTCATGATGTCCTCCGCCTTGATATTTCTGGAATATTGCTAAAGGCGGCGTAAAACCATCTTCACTCAAGCATGATTATAATGCTTACAGTTGCTAGTGCAGCATTGAGGGTGCGACTGCTTCAGAAGCAGGTCTCAGTAACCCGATGCAATGCATTTGTGCATTTTTAAACGGTTACTTTTAGGCTTTTATGATTTTTTGTATTTGAATTTCATTTCACGGTGTTAATGATAATCAATAGAGCCAACACGAATACTTTTTAAGTTTTACATGGCTACTTTCTGGATGTTTCACGTGTCTCAAGTCGGACGAACCCGTAACCCGAAAATAAATGTTGCCTGGTATGTTTGTTATTGAAATCGACTCATGTATTGAAGATGAAGATAGGTAAAAAGTAGTTACTTGTCTCCGGAGTTGTCCTGTGACGAGTAGTCCAACACAGCTGTCGCCCACAGTTCCACCTCTACAATAAGGACGAGGTCAGATGAATCATGTGCGGACAACTACAACTACATCAACTACAACTACATCAACTACAACATTTTGCGAACCCTACCAATATCTACTGTTAAAGCAATGCATCGGGCTGCGCAGACCGACGAGCAAAATGGCTTCACGTTTATGTTCTGGCAAATGTAGTATTTAGAAATGAATAATCGCTTAAGCACTTGTTTTAGGCTGAAGACGACGACAATAATTTCTACAGAGATCGCGTGCCAAGGTTTTAAACCGGAAGTTGTCAAATTGATTGGGCCATCCTTCGGCGCAGTCGAGGAAAACAATGTGCAATTACCGAAATAAAGCTTATGAAGCAATGGCAATTGCACATACATGTCCAAAAAAGGAGACGGTACTGCGTATGTTCTTGTTTCTGAAATGATTCGGAGGCACGGGTGGCCCAGTCGTCTACGGCGCCGCGATTCGCTTTGCAGATTTGCGTCCCTTGGGCACGCCAGAAACCTATGATTGTGGGTTCGAATCCTGGTTCGCCCCGATTATGTTTCTAGGTTTGTCAGCACCATACCCGGGCTCGTGGGTTTCACCGAAGTGGTAATTAAACGTCTGAGACCTGCATCACTTGGGGCTTTCCCAACACATTCAGCTGACACGCCGTGATATAACTGGAATACTGTTAAAAGCGGCGTTAAACCAAACTCACTCACTGAAATGATTCCATAAAGCTGTAACACTATAAATCGTATTCTTTCTTATATTCAGATTATTTGAATTTACGCTAAAAACGCCTTACCCATATTTTGCGTATTTAAAACGTACTGTTTAATTAGGCTGAAGATGGATAGCATTTTATCAATTTAGAAACATAATTCTGTTTCATTATAATGTTTTTTTGCACTGGTTATGGTAATGTATAGTTGTCTGAAAGAAAAGGACGGTTTGGGTGTGACTTTCTATTTAAATTCAATACAAAAAGGCATTAAGCTACCCTGGTTTGTTTCGACGAACGATTTAACGTCCACAAGGACAGTTCTGGATCTATATTTTATGTAGTCATCATTCATTTTTTATGAATACATTTATGTGATCTCAGAGTATGTATAGGTACAGAGCAGACTCATACTTTGTGATGTAGCAACCGTAGTCGTCGTTAACGATGTGGTGGTTGTTGGTGTTGTCGTAGTGGGTGTAGTTGTTGGAGTGGTTGTAGTATCGGTAGTAGTAGTAGTAGTAGTAGTAGTTGTAGTTGTAGTTGTAGTTGTAGTAGAAGTAGAAGCCGTAGATGTAGCAGCAGTTGTCGTCGGTGTTGGAGTTGTTGCAGGTGATGCAGTTGTCATCGGTGTTGGAGTTGTTGCAGGTGATGCAGTTGTCATCGGTGTTTGATTTGTTGCAGTTGATGCAGTTGTCATCGTTGTTGGAGAAGTTGCAGGTGATGCAGTTTTAATCGGTGTTGGAGTTGTTGCAGTTGATGCAGTTGTCATCGGCGTTGGAGTTGTTGCAGTTGATCCAGTTGTCATCGGTGTTGGAGTTGTTGCAGTTGATCCAGTTGTCATCGTTGTTGGAGTTGTTGCAGTTGATCCAGTTGTCATCGGTGTTGGAGTTGTTACAGTTGATCCAGTTGTCATCGGTGTTGGATTTGTTGCAGTTGATCCAGTTGTCATCGGTGTTGGAGTTGTTGCAGTTGATGCAGTTGTAATCGGTGTTGGAGTTGTTGCAGTTGATGCAGTTGTCATCGGTGTTGGAGTTGTTGCAGTTGATCCAGTTGCCATCGGTGTTAAGCCTACAGTTGCAGTCAGTGGCGTAGCAGTCAGGAATGTTACTGTGGGCGAAACATCTACGCATGCAATAATCATTTCATTGTTATCATTGAACAGTTAATTGGTATGCTCCTCAGTTTAGATTTGAGTCCTGAAAAAATGTGTTTCAAACAAATAAAGATATATATAATTTTAAACGGTGAACGAAAAAAGTGTCTCATTATATATTCGTAATTTCAATTATTTCTAGGTACTTTTAATATTTGGATAAGTTTCTCGTTACTTTGATAATTTGTCGTAATTTCAGAATTCTTCTCTTAATTTCAATAATTTTAAGAAATCGAAATTTCGGTTCCTTAAATATACTTGAAATAATGAGAAAAAACTCGTAATTTCCTTCTTTTTTAAATAACCTTGAAATAACGAGAAAATATTCGAACTTATGATAAAATGATCAAATTAACGAGGAAGGACTCGAATTTTGAGGAAATAATTGAAATTACTAAATATTATATCGAGTCGACGCAACAGGAAAAAAATCGAAAATACGGAACCGTGTGGGATAGTGTTGGCAGCAACAATAGCAGGTTGGAACCGTTGTCGTAGGTGGGTGGTTCGAATCTGCCTGTCCTGTATGATGGTGGTTTAACCTGGTCTACCACTATGGGACCTGTGCCTTTCATGGTTTTATTGTTGCCAACGCTGTCAGGTTGTGTTCTTGTGAACGTTAAACTGTAGTGCTACCCGGTTCCGTCACGTCAATAGGTCTGTGACGGTCATTTTACAAGCGTGGCATCCTGATGCCGAATTGCGTTGGGCAGTAACCCAGTGTGTAAACGATCGTATACTGGTCCACCGCAGATGTTGGTTTATTTGTCCAACAAACTTTTCACTTTTTCATGATTATCTCCTACTGCACGAGATTTTCATCCCAACATTCTCACATTGCAGCTGGTTCCTTTAAGCACTCTGTTTCATGCATTACCTATGGTGTTTTCAACAACCAAGGTACAGTCATCAAAAACAGTTTCTTTTGTTGCTGAGAATCTTATCGAGATAAATATATCACAGAAACATTACATACGCGTCCCAATGTTGAGAAGGAGCACACATATATAGAAGCGCCTAATGGCCGATATGAGTTCAAGTATCAGTTACAAATTCGAAGGAAAAGGCAATATTTCATCTTTCACTGAACATTTTATACTGGCAACTTAGTGTTTGTTTTGGCTCTGTAATAAACGCAAATAACATGTCATTAGATCATACATATACGTTAATCACAAAGGTACCTTCAGTCGTTGTCATGATTGTTAATACTGTAGTATGTGTCGGTTGTGCCGTTGCTGTTGTCGTCGTCGGTGGCGTCGTGGTCGAGAAGGGCACCGCACCTGTTTTGATGAAGAAATACTCCCTAGTTGTTCGACATAAATTTACTATTAATTACTTTCGGTTTTGTAAAATCAATTGAAGAAAAAATATAATCCAAATAATCTGAAACAGTCTGAAGATAATACATAAGATCTCAGCGTCAGGTATATCTAACCAGGTGGTAGCTAGTAGATGTCATTGTTGGGAATGTTACCTTGGCAGGAGTAGACGTCAGTGTCAGGTATATCGTACCTTTGCGGTAGCAGATATACGTGTCAGACATATATCACCATGGTGGTACCTAGTAGATGTCAGTGTGAGGTATATCTTACCTTGGCGGTAACAGATGTAAGTGTCAGACATATGTCACCTTGATGGTACCTAGTAGATGTCATTGTCGTGAATCTTACCTTGGCGGGAGTAGATGTCAGTATGAGGTATATTGTACCTTGGTGGAAATAGATATCAGTGTCAGACATATATCACCCTGGTGGTACCTAGTAGATGTGTGGGGACCGTAGCAGATGTCAGTGTGAGATATATCTTACATTGGTGGTAGCAGATATCAGTGTAAGGTATATCTTACATTGGTGGTATCAGATGTCAGTGTAAGGTATATCTTTCCTTGGTGGTAGTAGATGTCAGTGTGAGGTATATCTTACCTTGGCGGTAGTAGATGTCAGTGTGAAGTATATCTTACCTTGGTGGTTGTAGATGTCAGTATGGGATATATCTTACCTTGGTGGTAGTAGATGTCAGTGTGAGGTATATTTTACCTTGGCGGTAGTAGATGTCAGTGTGAGATATATCTTACCTTGGTGGTAGTAGATGCCAGTGTGAGATATATCTTACCTTGGTGGTAGTAGATGTCAGTGTGAGATATATCTTACGTTGGTGGTAGTAGATGTCAGTGTGAGGTATATCTTACGTTGGTGGTAGTAGATGTCAGTGTCAGGTATGTCTTACCTTAGTGGTAGTAGATGTCAATGTGAGGTATATCTTAACTTGGTGGTAGTAGATGTTACTGAGAGGTACATGTATATCTTACCTTGGTGGTAGTAGATGTCAGTGTCAGGTATGTCTTACATTGGTGGTAGTAGATGTCAATGTGAGGTATATCTTACCTTGGCAGTAGTAGATGTCACTGAGAGGTACATGTATATCTTACTGTGGTGGTAGTAGATGTCAGTGTCAGGTATGTCTTACCTTGGTGGTAGTAGATGTCAATGTGAGGTATATCTTACCTTGGTGATAGTAGATGTCAGTGTGAAATGTATCTCACCTTGGTGGTAGTAGATGTCAGTGTGAGATATATCTTATCTTGGCGGTAGTAGATGCCAGTGTGAGATATATCTTACCTTGGTGGTGGTAGATGTCAGGGTCAGGTATATCTTACGTTGGTGGTAGTAGATGTCAGCGTGAAATATATCTACCTTGGTGGTAGTAGATGTCAGTGTGAGATATATCTTACCTTGGTGGTAGTAGATGCCAGTGTGAGATATATCTTACCTTGGTGGTGGTAGATGTCAGGGTCAGGTATATCTTACGTTGGTGGTAGTAGATGTCAGCGTGAAATATATCTACCTTGGTGGTAGTAGATGTCAGTGTGAGATATATCTTACCTTGGTGGTCGTAGATGTCAGTGTGAGGTATATCATACCTTGGTGGTAGTAGATGCCAGTGTCAGGTATATCTTACCTTTGTGGTAGTAGATGTCAGTGTGAGGTATATCTTACCTTGGTGGTAGTAGATGTCAGTGTGGGGTATATCTTACCTTGGTGGTAGTAGATGTCAGTGTGAGGTTTATCTTACCTTGGCGGTAGTAGATGTCAGTGTGAGGTATATCTTACCTTGGCGGTAGTAGATGTCAGTGTGAGGTTTATCTTACCTTGGCGGTAGTAGATGTCACTGAGGGGTACATGTATATCTTAGCTTGGTGGTCGTAGATGTCAGTGTGAAATGTATTTCACCTTGGTGGTAGTAGATGTCAGTGTCAGATATATCTTACCTTGGTGGTAGTAGATGTCAGTGTGAGGTATATCTTACCTTGGTGATAGTAGATGTCAGTGTGAGATATATCTTACCTTGGCGGTAGTAGATGTCTGTGTGAGATATATCTTACCTTGGTGGTAGTAGATGTCAGTGTCAGGTATATCTTACCTTGGTGGTAGTAGATGTCAGTGTGAGATATATCTTACCTTGGTGGTGGTAGATGTCAGGGTCAGGTATATCTTACCTTGGCGGTAGTAGATGTCAGTGTGAGATATATATTACCTTGGTGGTGGTAGATGTCAGGGTCAGGTATATCTTACCTTGGCGGTAGTAGATGTCAGTGTGAGGCATATCTTACCTTGGTGGTAGTAGATGTCAGTGTGAGGTATATCTTACCTTGTCGGTGGTAGATATCAGTGTGAGATATATCTTACGTTGGTGGTAGTAGATGTCAGTGTGAGGTATATCTTACCTTGGTGATGGTAGATGTCAGTGTGAGATATATCTTACGTTTGTGGTGGTAGATGCCAGTGTGAGATATATCTTACCTTGGTGGTAGTAGATGTCAGTGTGAGATATATCTTACGTTGGTGGTAGTAGATGTCAGTGTAAGGTATATCTTACCTTGGTGGTAGTAGATGTCAGTGTGAGGTATATCTTACCTTGGTGGTAGTAGATGTCAGTGTGAGGTATATCTTACCTTGGTGGTAATAGATGTGAGTGTCAGGTATATCTTACCTTGGTGGTAGCAGATGTCAGTGTGAGGTATATCTTACCTTGGTGGTAGTAGAGGTCAGTGTGAGATAGATCTTACCTTGGTGGTAGTAGATGTCAGTGTGAGATAGATCTTACCTTGGTTGTAGTAGATGCCAGTATGAGGCATATCTTACCTTGGTGGTAGTAGATGTCAGTGTGAGGCATATCTTACATTGGTGGTAGTAGATGCCAGTGTGAGGCATATCTTACCTTGGTGGTAGTAGATGTCAGTGTGAGGCATATCTTACCTTGGTGGTAGTAGATGCCAGTGTGAGGTATATCTTACCTTGGTGGTATTAGATGTCAGTGTGAGATATATCTCACGTTGGTGGTAGTAGATGTCAGTGTGAGGCATATCTTACTTAGCTTTAAAGGATATCAAATAACCTTCCCCAACCAGGAATCATATATGGCCGCCTCTAAAATCAAACAAATCTTCCAAATTACCGTAAATAGTTCTATCCCCCACTGGCCAATATTTACTAGGGGAGTTATTCGAGTGCACCCAAGGGAAACCGATGAGGACCTCGACATATACGCCCAAGAAGCCAACACTATAAAAACCCAACCAGAAATAACTAGCATCCGCAGGATCAAATCAAACAGAAACGGAAAAAACACCCCCACGCCTATAGTAATAATAAACTTAAAAAAACAGCCGAACATCCTGGAGCCCCCAAACACATCACTTTCGGCGCTAACCAAAACTTGTAAGTTAAACCCTACATAAAACAAGTAAAGCAATGTTCCAATTGTCTCCAATACAACCACACTGCTAACCAATGCAGATTAAAAAAAACTCAATGTAAAAACTGTGCCCAAACGGACTGCCCAGGCACATGCACACCCTGGTGCTTCCACTGCAAATCCGTCAAACATTCGTCACTCTCAAACCAATGTCTCCACAGACTATCACTCACACAACAGGCCAACAAACATATAAACATAAATACGGTCAAAATCCAAACCAAAAGACCCACACCGTAATCATACAAACAACACCTACCAACACCACCCTCAAACAACAACACTCACGCACGCAAAACAATACTCCGAGATTCCTTATGGGACTCAAAACAGAAACACGCATACATCGCACACGAAACAAACATCCCACTCATCCCACAAACTCACACACGCACCCTCCCCGCCTTCCACCACACGGTCACAACATCTACACCCGCAAGCAAAACCCAACGCACAACGACCACCACACAACCAGCACCCACACAAGCCACTACAACCACGAGGGCAACAACACCCCAAAACCTACAAGCACCCCCCGAACATCCAGACAACAGGGAAACCACAGAAGCCATACAGACTCACACATCAAAACCCAGCACGCAACCCACCACCGATGAGAGTGACCCAAATAAAACTAACCTAGCCGAAGAAGACCATTACTCAACCTCAGAAGAAACTAACGATGTTACCTTATCAGCCCCTTTAACCAAAAGCTATAACAAAAACTCTCCCAAAATGTAGCAAACAAAAAACTAAACAACTTAGTCCTCCTACTAGCCTATATGCTTAAACAGTCTAACCCAGAAGCCAGCTCCAAATCCTTTTTTTGGTGTAGCACAAAAACTCAAACGCATCACCATCCCTTTCGACCGATTCAGCAGCAGCCTTAAGGACTTAGTAAAGTAAAATCCTAAAACAGCTTAAACCAAACATAAAACCACTCAGCTTCCCAATGGAAGGCCTTAACATTTTCCAATGGAATGCCAATGGCCTCGCCGGCCATGGATCAGAACTCAAAGCTAAATTTAAAATAGATAAAGGTCCACATGTAGCCTGTATTCAAGAAACCAAATTTTCACATGAAACCAAATTTAATCTTCCAAATTATAATTCAGTAAGAACTGACAGGTCTAATACCATCCCAGGCCGAGCAGGGGGAGGTCTAATCATCTACGTAAGAGAAGCTATAAACTACGAGGCAATTCAAGTTAACACATCTAATCTAGAAGCTAATGGAATCCAAGTCACCATTAACAACAAGAAAAGAAAATCATCAACATTTATCACTCATCTCTAAAACCAATTAAAGATAAAGACCTAGACATCCTTTACCCACTGGGAAATAAATCAACCATCTTCTTAGGGGACTTCAATGCCCATCACCCTACATGGAGCATTGCAAATAAATTAGACAATCATGGACAACTAATATCATATACTCCAGACTTAGCACAAAGGTTACTGTGGGATGTCCACCAAGTACCTCTAGGCAGCGACCACTTCCCCATAAATATAACCTTAGGAA